AAAGCTTCAATAAACCAACCAATATCACCAAAAGGAAAGATTGTATGGAGTAAAACTAACTTAAACTTTTGTTTGTGGAAGATTGAAGCATATGGAAGCTTGAAGTTGAAGATTTTTCCTTCTTCTTTGAGCTAAGAGGGCCGGCCATAAGAGGTAAGAAAATGGTGATTTTTGAGCAATTTTTAGATATTTAATCCTTTGGTCAAAAAAGTCAAAAATGTGAATAGTAACTCTTAAAGTCCAACCAATAAGAGGATGACATGTGGCATCTCCATAAATGCATTCCTATCTTTCTTTTCTCTCTCACATCAATCATTTCACACACTCTACTTATCTCTTAACACCCGATAAATTTTACACAGTATCCGAAACTTAACCTTATTGGCCGAATTTTTCCGAACTTTTCGCACTAATGGGTCCCACATCCAATATATATTCTTAATTTTCTAAAAATTCACCAATGCTAGAAAAACCATCTTAAAACTATAATTGCGCATAAAATCCACCAAGAAAATATTTCTAAGCCAGAAAATGCAGAAAACATGCAATTTAAGGGACTAAAACCCTAGGAAAAATTTAGGGTTTTTACGGGTCCTCACACTATTTGTTAAGAAAAAAGATGGAAGCTTGAGGTTATGTATCGATTATCGGGGTCTAAATGAAGGTACAATTAAGAATAAATACCCTCTACCATTGATTGACAGCTTGTTTGATCAACTGCAAGGATCAGTAGTTTTCTCTAAGCTGGACTTAAGGCAAGGGTACTATCAGTTGAAAATTAAGAAGGAGGACATACCTAAGACTGCTTTCAATACAAGATATGGACATTTTGAGTTTGTAGTCATGCCATTCGGATTAACTAACGCACCAGCTGCTTTCATGGATTTAATGCAGAGAGTCTTTAAAAAGTACTTGGATCAGTTTGTAGTAGTTTTTATTGATGATATCCTAGTATATTCTAAGACTCGAGAAGAACATGTTCAACACTTGAAAATGGTTCTGCAGATCTTAAGAGAGCATAAGTTGTATGCTAAATTTAGTAAGTGTGAATTTTGGCTGGATGAAATTTCGTTTCTGGGGCACAAAGTTTCGAAAGATGGAATTGCTGTAGATCCGGCAAAAGTTGAGGCAGTCACAATGTGGAAACAGCCAGAAACTCCAACCAAGGTTAGAAGTTTCTTGGGTCTAGCAGGTTACTACAGGCGATTCATTAAGGACTTTTCAAAGATTGCTGGACCTATGACAGAACCGACAAAGAAAAATAATAAGTTTATTTGGTCTCCAAAGTGCGAATCCGGTTTTCAGGAGTTAAAAAGGCGCTTAGCATCAGCTCCTGTTTTGACGTTGCCTAATGGAGTAGAGGTTATGTCGTATACTCTGATGCCTCTAGGGAAGGTGTAGGATGCGTACTAATGCAAAAGGGTAAGGTGGTTGCTTATGCCTCTAGAAAGTTGAAGCCTTACGAACAAAATTACCCAACGCATGATCTGGAACTGGCCGCAGTGGTCTTTGCTTTAAAGAAATGGAGACACTATTTGTACGGTGTAACTTTTGAAGTTTTTACGGACCACAAGAGCCTTAAGTACCTGTTCTCCCAAAAGGAATTGAATTTGAGACAAAGACGATAAGTAGAATTTTTGGAGGATTATGATTGCTCAATCAACTACCATCCAGGAAAAGCCAATGTGGTAGCAGATGCTTTGAGTAGAAAGGCCCAAGTAGCAAGGTTAATGGTAAAAGAATGGGATATGTTAGAAGAAGTTAGTGTTTGGAACCCTCGCTTGGAGAGATTGAAGATTTTATTTGGGAAATTGTCGTTGAAATCACCGTTATTGGAGCGTATTAAAGAGGCACAGAAAACGGACTCTACGGTTCAGAAAAAGTTGAAGCAAGTGTAAAACGGGGAAAACCTAGACTTTAAGTTAGGGTCTGAAGGAATGTTAAGGTTCCGAGATCGGATTGTGGTCCCAGTTGATGAGGAATTAAGGAAAGAAATTCTAGAAGAAGCATATCGATCGAGGTATACTATACACCCAGGAGTGAGCAAAATGTATCACGATGTGAAGGAATTATACTGGTGGGATGGTTTAAAAAGGGACATGGCAAAGTTTGTACAAAATGTCTGATATGCCAACAAGTGAAAGCTGAACATCAAAAACCCTCTGGTTTATTGCAGCCACTAGAAATTCCTGAATAGAAGTGGGAACACATAACCATGAATTTTGTAACAGGTTTACCTAGAAGTCAACAGGGATTTGATGCGATTTGGGTAATAGTTGACAGGCTTACCAAGTCCGCACATTTTTACCTGTGAGTATGAGCTTTACTTTGGAAAAATTGGCCAAGTTGTACACAAAAGAGATTATGAGATTGCATGGTATTCCTATAAGCATTGTGTCTGATCGAGATTCGAGGTTTGTTTCTCGTTTTTGGCAGAAATTTCAAGAAACATTGGGAACCAAGTTGAAGTTTAGTACTGCTTATCATCCCCAAACAGATGGACAGTCAGAAAGAACAATTCAGACTTTAGAGGATATGTTGAGATCATGTATATTGGATTTTGGAGGTAAATGGAGTCAGTATATGGCCTTAGTAGAATTTGCTTATAATAATAGCTATCATGCCTCAATTCAAATGGCACCTTATGAAGCATTGTATGGGAGGAGGTGTCGATCTTCGATTCGTTGGGATGAAGTAGGAGAAAGAAAGATTTTAGATCCAACGGTTATACCTTGGATGGAAGAAGCTCATGAGAAAGTGAAACTAATTAGGGAAAGGCTTCAAACTGCCAAGAGTCGGCAAAAGAGCTACGCCGACACAAGAAGGAAAGATCTGGAATTTGAAATAGGAGACAAAGTGTTCCTAAGAGTTAAACCCATGAAGGGCGGAGTAAAGTCCAAAAAGGGTAAAAAGTTAAAGCCGAGGTATATTGGACCTTTTGAAATTTTGAAACGAATCGGAAAGATGGCGTATCAACTGCAATTGCCTCCGAGTATGGCCAAGATTCACAATGTATTTCATGTTTTTATGCTCAAGAGATATCACCCCGATCTAAGCCACGTGTTGCAATTGGAAGGAATTGAAGTGGATGAATCATTAACTTATGAGGAAGGACCAGTTAAGATTCTGGAAAGAGAAGTGAAGGAATTGCGAAATAAGAAAATTCCCTTGGTGAAGATTCTATGGAAAAATCACGAAATAGAGGAAGCAACTTGGGAACTAGAAGAGGATATGCGGAGGAAATACCCTGAGTTATTTCATTAGAAGGTGAGAATTTTGAGGACAAAATTCATTTAAGGGGGGAGGATGTGAGAACCTTGAAAAGTATAGATATACATATATACATGTATGTACGCGTTGCATGTGCATTCTAGACTTTTAATAAACTCTAGTATTATGTGATCTTAAATAAGTGTGCAAAAATAATTTGTTTTAGGTCACAAATAATCCAATTGTGTAAAATATTAGATTTATTTGAATTTTTGCCAAGTTAAGTTAATATTTCTTGACGTAGAGTGTGTCATTGCTTTTATTTTAATTTCTTGATTTCAATAGTTAACTTTAAGTTTTAATAATGTTAGGTGTTAACGGGAATCTAGAGTTAAGATGAAATCGTTTTAGGTTAAAACTTTTTATAATTATTCTTAGGACGTTGTATTTCGATAATTGAATTTTTGCGAGGTTAGTATACTAGTAGGCTATCGGATTTTCGTTTGGGGAAATCTTGGAATTAGTTTACAAATGAGAGCTCAAGTGGAAGTTCGAACAAGTGGTTAAAGGACCAAATTAGCCTCTTTTATTTTTAAATTAACCATGCAGCCATGGAACATCCTAGAACAATCTCCAAGTTCAAACAATTCCAGCATGTCGGTTCCATTCCTTCCACTTATCATTTCATGGTGCTGGTTCCTTTCTCCACTACCATACACAACTATATCAACTACTAATCACCACAACACTTCCATTTCATTTATTCCACACGTCCATTTCCTTTTGCTGCCGTGAGCCATGAGTGAGCAGCTTCCTTGGAGTTAACGACCGAGAGAGAGAGAGAGCCGAGCTTCTCATTCTTTTCTTTCCTGCTGTAAGCTAAAAAAAAAAAAAGAGTGAGAGACCTGCTACTCATACTTCAGTCTATCCGTGAGCTGGTGGAGAGAACCGGGAGCCAAACTTCCCCCAATCCAGCCCCAAGTTTGAGCAAGGGAGAGGGAGAGTTGCGGACTGCAATTTTGGTTTTGCCAAGAGGAGAGAAAAATCTCAGTCGCTAGTCGCGTGTGTTGAGCTCCTAACTGAGGTAATTTCTGGACTTAGATGAATTGTTTAGGGGTTGATGAAGCTATTTATAAGCATGCATGTGAGGTTGTGCAGTTGGATAACAAAGTTAAGTTGCAAGAAATCTGATGTTGAAGGAATTGTAGTTGCCGAGAGCTTGAGCTGGAAAATTTGCAGTTTTAATTTGTTAATTTGTGATGATCTGAGCTTAGTTTTGGACCAATCTGATAGATAGTTCTTTATTCGGTGTTGCATGTGAGCTTTATGGCCAGGAATTCGGTTGCATGGCTGGAAATTGTTTTATTGGAAGTTGTTGGACTGCTAAACCAATTTTCCAGTTTAGCCGATAGAGTTGTTTTGGGAGTTGTATGGGTATTTTAGTATGAATTTTGCTGGTAAGTGTTTGATTTTCACTTGGTTGTGTGTTTTGCTAACTAAATACTGGATGATTAAGCCCTGCATGAGATTAATTAGCTGTGTGTAAACCAGAAATTTTGAAGGAAAACAAAATCTAGATGCATGCATGTCAACCGAGTAGGTTGGAATGAAATTTCTGGTTGGATGGTCTTGTGATGTTGTTCGAACTTAATTTTGGATCAATATTGTTAAATAATTAATTATTTTGATCATGCATGAAGTTGATATGAGTCGTGGATATAAAAAAAAAGGAAAAGAAATCTGGAATTTGCGGTCTAGAAAAGGGGTTGAACATTTGATTAGTTTTCCTTCGAACTTTAGCTAAGATTGTCATGTTGGATGTTGAAGATTTGCTTGTAGCTTGCTAATTACCTTCTTGCATGTTGAGTTGAAAAAAAAATTTGAAGAAAACTATGGACAAAAACACTATAAATAGATTACTATATTGCTGGAAATTGGATATGGTGGTGGCCGAATTAATCAAGGTTTTTGTGTGAGATGATTTTCTGGAATCATGTGTTATTTATTTTGGTTTGGATTGGACAGATTATGAGTTGTATATTTGATGTGTCAAACAAATAAAAGATGGGATTTGAAGGATGTTTTGAATTGGTAAATTACTAGAGTTTCTCGTGGTTGTTAAAACAAGGGAAAATTTGAATTCTTAGAATTAGTTGGAAGTTAGGTTGGCTGTGGTTTTCTCTTCATTGTGGATTGAAATTTTGATTGAATTGTGATTGGAAGTGATTGTTTGTTGTCAAGAGCTAATGATTGATGAAGCTCTTGGCCATTTGAGTAGTTTTTGCAAGAATTTAATTTTGGGTGAATTTGTTCAAGTGGTTGGCTGAAATGTACTTGGAAGGTCCATGGTTTGTGATTTGGAATTTGTTGTGATACCTTGGATTTCCTTTGCTGAATTTTGTTTGGAATAAAATCTGTTGAGACCTAGAGCTAATGATTGATGAAGCCCTAGCGAGATTTATATTTGAATTGTCGTTTTAGCTATATTGGCAACTTGGAATACAATGTGCGTATGAATTGGAGTCTAAAGTCCGTTTTAGTCTTTTGAATACAAGTACTTTTAAATCAAGCCTTGTGGGTGTATTTTGTCTTAATATTAAGTTATATATATATTAAGTATAATACGTTAATATTAAAATTTAGATATCGGGACTTTTAAAACCTTGCCGACTAGTGAATTCTTTTCTTCTGTTTAAACTAGTTTTATTGCCTTTAGGGAATAATTGTATTAATTTCCAAACTTTAAGTTTTTCAAAATTATCCTTGACCAGTTGTTTTAAAGAAAATTTGTTAAAAACACTAGATTTGAATAATTTCAAATAAAAGACATAGAAAACTTGTTCGGCAAGAAATCTTGTTTAAATTAATTTGGTTCTAGTTTGCTTCTAGAAAGGAAATACCTTTAAAGAAACCTCACGAAACATTTTATTCCTTTTCCAGCTTTAATTTTAAGAGAGTTATTGATTTGTTTCGAGGAATTAAACTAGTTTTATACAAGATAATTTTTTTTTTGTATTTATAAACCAAGGGTTTGTTTGGTAAAACTTATAGTTTTTTTAAAAAACTTGAATTTTTAGGGTTTAGCAAGGATGTGGACTTCAATTCTCAGCTTGACCTTTGAACTTCACTTTTGGTGAGTGTCCGTGCTTGTTCTATGACTAAAGTGTTAAAGTGCTTTCTTGACTTGTTATGTGATATTTGGAAAGTGGTTTTCCTGAACCATCGAAGTGGCAGTGTGTACTTTATCGCACTAGCCTTTCGCGTGGTGACTTGCTTGAAATGTTTTCTCGAATATCTTGCAATTGTTGACTGGAGCGTGGACTCGTCAACTAAATCACTAGGTAGGGGAATGTTCCACACCTTAAGGGTGGAGGGCCTTTTATCCTGACCTAGTAACCACATGTTGGACGCAACGTCGTTGGGTGAATCTCTCGACCTGTCTATAATAGGTATACTCGAGTAGTACCAAACTCTCTCGTGTGGCGTGCGGCCCGGTAGGGGGAGTAAGTTGGTTGGAGCGTGTTTAGATAAAAAAAATAATGAATCTACATGGACTTTAGATAGTGAGAGTTGACAGAGGGTCAACTGCGGTTCATTTTGATCAAGTGCGGGGAAAATGACTCCTGAGAGCCCCTGTATCCTACCTTGTGCTGTTATACGCTTTCCTATTTGTGAATTTAAGCTTGGAACTATTATTTGCTATTTGTTTATATGATTGCATGTTTTGGGCACCACTGAGCTTTAGCTCACCACACGATATCCTTAACAGGTTCTAGAAATCGAGAGACTTGAAGCCTTTTTTTCGTTTTTTGTAAATATTATTTCGGACCTTGTATCGTTGTCACTTGAAGCTGGAAAAGTGCAAACCTTAAGTTTTGGGTGAATTTATTGAGCTTTATGCATTTACTGTGTGGTTGGTAATGTATATTTGTAGTTTGTGTTGAACTAGTCGGAGATATATTTAAGAGTGAACGGTTGGATGTTCATTGGTAATGCTATCTCTGAAGTTAATGTGTTTTAGTATTCCAGTCGTTTAAAGGTTTGGCATGTCCGAGTGACAAATTGTGTTTTGGTTTAAGTTATATATGGATTAGTGGTTGGTTTGCTTGCGTGAGTCCTGGCGAGAGTTGGACAGGCGACCCGCCAACCCTCTGGTTCGCCTTAGGGAGAAGTGGGGCCGCCACAGTTTTTCTTACAAGGGACAAACTTGGAAATCACGGTTTTGGAAGAAAAGGGTCAAGCTAGTATATGTGTCATGTTGTTAAACTCTTTTGAAAACGAAGCCCTAATTGTATTTTGTGTAGTAAGAGTACCTCAGATCGCACTGTATGTTAATTTGTTCAAGACTTCAATGTAAATATATGTATAAGTGTTTAACCTTGTCTATTAAATGTATTCCGTTGAAACTATGATTTTATGGTTTGGTAGTCATGTTCTCACCTTAGTAGTTTCTGCACATACTATGTTGGGTTTGTGTGAATCATCTCCGTAGTCCTGGCGAGAGCTGGGCAGGCGTCCGCTAAACCATTTGGTTCGTCTTAGGGGAAGGTGGGGCCGTCACATAATTGCTATAAAAAAAATCTTTAGATACTTGAAAGGAACTTTGAACTATAGCCTTTGGTATCCTAGATGTCGTGAACTTCCTCTATGTGGTTTCTCGGATACTGATTTTAGTGGATGTATGATAGATAGAAAAAGTACCAGTGGCACATGTTGCTTTCTTGGTAATTGTCTAGTGTCATGGCTTAATAAGAAATAAAATACTATCTCCTTGTCTACGGCAAAAGCAGAATATGTTGCCGTCGGTGCATATTGTGCTCAATTGATATGGATGAAAAGTACCTTAAATGATTTTGGTTTGGAGTATGACTGTGTGCCTGTGTTTTGTGATAATACAAGTGCCATAAATTTGACAAAAAATTCAATTCAACATTCTAAGACAAAGCATATAGACATAGAACATCATTTCATTCGTGATGTTGTCCAAAAGGGTGAAATTTGTGTTCAAAAGATGAAATTGCTGATATTCTTACAAAAGCCTTACCATTGGACCAATTTATGTTTTTGAGAATAAAATTGGGCGTCCTAGAAAAGATTCTCTAAAAAATTCTCTGGTCACACTTTATCGGAAGTCCGATGCACAAGAATAGACGTCCGACAATGTTCTTGGTCACTTTTCCAGAAAATTTTTTTTTTGGATAGAAGTGTCGGACGCTTCTTTTCGTTCGGCCGTCCGACACTCAAAAAATGTGTATTATAAAGCAGTTCTCTTGTTCATTCAGTTCATTTTTAATCATTGTCTCGGACGCAACCCTTCCTCTTCTCCCACTTTCAAATTTCAAAAATTCATCTCTCTTCCAAACAAGTTCCAAGAAATTGATCTGTTCAACACCATTAAATTCCTTTTGTGCATCCATTAGCCCTCATTACTTCCTCTAACCACCAACCACCCACAGATCCAATTCTAACCCGAAACTCTAGCAACTCAAATTCACTCCTTTTGGAAAGACTCAAGCATACATTGTAGACCATACTGCAATTTTAGTCCATATCATACACTTTTCATCACTCTCTGCAGCAAAAGCATCCTGCATGTCATCATGGTTAGAGTGAGAGGGGGATCTGTAGTGCCGGACGCACTACCAGATTAAGGGATGAAGACATTGAGATTGTCGAGCCTTCCATCACGAAATCACCCAAAAAAGGAACTAAGGCAAGTGGTGGAAAAAAGACACGGCCTGCCAAAAAGAAATGGACTGCTGAAATTGAGAAACTGCAAACCACTGAGCCCTCTGTTGAGCAAACTGAGGAACAACAGACTGCTGAGCAAAATGCTGAGGAACAGCAAATTGTTGAACCTTCCACCAGGAGATCAACAAGATCAAGGACCGGTGTACAGACTCGTGTACCAACCGCTCAACGCAGTGAAAAGAAGAAACGGCCTGCCAGAAAGCAACTTGAGGCTCAACCTGATGAACAACCTACTCCATTACCCAAATTCATTGATGATGATGCCAGGGAGAGGTTTGAATGGATTTCACTGAAAGGCTTCATCACTCAGAGGACCATTGTTTCTTATGAATTCCGTAAGCTTGACCTTGAACCAGTTATTAAGCTTTTTGAATTCCAAAAATGAACTCACATTCTGACCATTCCCAACACTTATTACCCTGATATGCTTTACCAATTCTTTGTCAATCTTGGGAAGGGTAACTCACACACTGATCTTGTTTCTCGAGTCGATTCAGTCGATATTACCTTTAATCCTGACATTGTTAATGTTATTTTAAAGACTAAAATTGAAGATGATATTAAAGAAAAACTTACAAACTTTTTCTCTTATGAAGAGTTTTCTTCTACGTATCATCATTTTCATGTTGCAAAACTCATGAACTATTTTCAAATACACTTTAACACCCCTGCTGAAGTAAAATTGGAGGATCTCAGCTCACAAAATTTAATCATTTTTAAATAATTTCAAATCTGTTAGTTCCTACTGATAGTCATAGGACTGATGCGAACAAAATGGAGCTTTACTTGTTTTATTGCTTTCTTGAAAAGATCAAAAGTGATTTCGGCTTTGTTATGTGCAAGTTTTTACTCAAAATCAGCACTGATAGCTTTAAAAAACTTTCCTATGGAAAATTTCTAGCTCCAATCTTTGCTCACTTTAAGATTTTTTCACTGGAGTGTCACCAAAAGTAAGTGCATTCACTGTCTTTTCAAAAGCCTATTTTGAAAGAAAAAATCTAAGATTCTTTGATGGTAAGTGGTGCTACAAGGAGTCTGTCTTGGAATCTAGGATAAAGACTCGATATGAAACTCCTGTCACCCCTAGAACCCCTAGAGATCAATCTAAATTTGTTTCACCCTTCACTATTCATCGTAGAAAATCATCAGCTTAGCCTTCTTCATCTAACTCTGAGGTCATCTCCTTACTTGAGGATCTCAAACAACATATTCTCCTTCTCGAAGATGGTCTCATGATGACCATGTCACCTGAGCAACAAGCTATCTTCATTGATGAAAGGAACTTGTTTATGTCTCCTATCCCTCAAGAAGATGAGAATGTGCATCAAAAGGAGCCGAGAACTGAGCCAACTGAGCAAACTTCACCTACTAAACCTACTCCAGAAGTTCATGCTTCCAGTTCTCAACCACTAGAAAAGGGCAAGGGGCCAGCAACTGAAGACAGTGATGATGATGAGGAAACTAAAGAAGAAAAAGTGGATCCTGCTCAGTTTCGCCTAGTAAGAAGGAGACCTGGATCATCCAAGATTACTATTTAGGCACCTTTAGGTACTTGCACTTCATTTTAGAATAGCATCTCATAGTAGATATTTGCATCTTTTGTATTTTGACAATTCAAGTACTCTGTACTTAGTATTCTGGTTATTTGGTTAAACTCTGGTTTGTAGTTTATTTGGTTCACTTTTATATCTTGATGGTTTCTGGTTACTTTAATTGGTCAAATCTCATTTGGTTAATTTTGTTTGTTTTTGGGCTAATGAGTGCGGAGTGATTGGTATATCTGTGAGATTGCTGATTTCTGATTGCTGATATATGAGATTGTTGATTCCTTATGCCTGATTTCTGATTGGTTAACTCTCTGATTTTGGTATGTTGGTTGTTGTATTGATGATGCTAGTTGTTATTGATGACATTGATGTTGATCTTCTGGTATGATGTGATATATTAAATTGGATATTGGATTTGATTTCTGATATTGGATTACTGCCATTCGTTGTTAAAATCATCTAATGATGACAAAAAGGGGGAGAAATAGATACTAAGACACCAGGGAAGTATAATCTGAGGGGTGAGCTATCCTGAGGGGGAGTATGTATAAACTTTTTGATGCATCATGTGAGGGGGAGTTTTGACTCAACTATTTTCTTTCCTCCATCTATTGTTTTGTCATCATCAAAAAGAGGGAGATTGTAAATCTTAGTCCCTAGTTTTTGATGTTTACAAAACAAATGAATGTTACTAATCTCTCCTCAAAGATCTTTTCAGCAATGAAGCAAAACAAGTTCAATGATTTAATACAAGAAAAAAGGCAAAGAGTGATGAAAGCTATTGGACACTCGTAAAGACTGGATTAGACGTCCGATATTCCTTCCGCAACTTCGGATGCATGAAGTACTGTACCACTGGACGTCTGAAGATATTATATCATTTCTTCTAAATTCACTAATTTCGATCGGACACACAACATTAGAGTACCGGACATCTGACAAACATTACGACACTTCGGACGCAAAACATTAGAGGTACCAGACATTCGAAAGGATTGAAGAAGAATTCTCAGTTTCACTATCTACCTTCGAACGCATACATTGAAGGTACCGGACGTCCGAAAGAATTGAAGAAAACTTCTTGAATTCACTGCCTGCTGTCGGATGCAAGAAACAGGTCTATCGGACGTTTGACATAACCAACGGCTAGTTGACTCTTCAGCTGCCTTCTATCCATTGGAAGCATTAATGGATGACCTTTTTGGTTTCATATAAATAGAGCATGGTCAACCACTTTCATACCACTTTTGCACATTGAGATTACAAAAGAACTAGAGTGATTTTAGTTAGAAAATACCTTCAAAGAAGATTTGTACTCTTGTTTGTGTGAATTTCGTGTAAGCTCTTCTTGTGTGTAAAAAATACTTCAATAGTGTAGTTTTGTGAGGGTTATTATTCGAGTGATAATAAAACTTCCTAATTTGACCAAGTATAGTTTGGGATAAGGAGAAAGTGATCCTTCTTTTGAACACATAGATTGGTTGTATTTAACCAACTTGAAGAGGTTTGTTCTATAAAGTGATACTTAAGCTCAAAAGGAGATTGGAAATACTTGGTTTGCCATTCTTTATCTTTTACTTACTATCTTGCAAACATAAACTGATTATCTCTTCTACTCCTGAGCAATCTTGCTTTCTTAATCATTTATTCATTGTGTGATCATCTAGAAAAGAGTGTAAATTTCATATTAAGTCAAAAAGTGTCTCATAATTTGATTAGTTTTTAAATAACCTAATTCACCCACCCTCTTAGGTTGTTTTCGATTCTTACAATGTCCCTAAAAAATGTAGAAAAAATAATCACCCCAAACGGATCTATAACGAAGGAGAAAAATGAATTTGAACAGGGCTAGTCGACCAGCCTGTTCCCAGTTTTCTGTAGAAAAATTTTTTTTCTTTTTCTTGCTTTTTCTCACTCCCTACCCCAGACCTTGTGTAGGCATTTTTTTCTAACTTGTTCACTCTCTCTCTTAAAACCTAAAAGCCATGTTTGTTACGCATTTATATGAAAAAAAAACCCTAAAACTAGCAATGAAGGATTGGGATGAAAAAATCATGTGTCTCTTTCCCTCCCTTTGATCAATTGTAGTTAGGTACTAAAAGATAAGATTTGGGAGATGATGAGCTATATTTGTACTAACAAGCTTGGGGAGAAAGAAAGAGAAAAGAAAGAAAGAAAAACAAAGAAAAAAACCTAGCCATCAAGTTGCTTCGTACTGGTTTGTTGCTGCAAAATTGGAGAAGAAAAGAGTTTTTTTTTGCTGCAAAAATTGAAGAGCATTTTTTTTCAAGAAAAAATTGGGCCAATAGGCCTCTTCTATTTCCTTTCTTTCCTGACTTTGGCTGGGCTTCGGGTAGGCTTTTTGTAGTATTTTTACTTGGTTTTTGTTTGGTTTTCTGGTAGGTTTTGTGGTTGGGTTTGGGTTTCTTTTATTGAGATTGAAACACAAGAAAAATCTCTACCAAATTCTCCAATTTTGAACATCCATTTTTCTTTTCCTTTTCTTTCTTTTTGTACAAACCTACAAAACAAAAATAAAAATAATTACTTTAAGCAATTTATAAGTGAAAAATAAAAATAGTAGACTCGAAATTAAGAAAAATTTGGTGTCTACATTTTCTATATCCAAAACTCTCAACTTACATATAAATTACATATTAACCTATTCATTCTTCTAGATTGGCCTATTCAGAGCAACAAGTAACATCATAGTAAGTTTTCTTATTTGTTATAGATTTTATTAGTTAGTATGATCTATTGTGGTTAGTCATCCCAAGTTTGTTAATTCTTTTTAATAGAGTAGTTTGTCAAACTATCATCTCTTATTCACTTGCTTAAATTATCCATATTGGAAAAATGTTATAAAAATCAACACCGGATTTGTTAGGTATGACTAATAGTTAAAAATAATTATGTTCTCAGTAAAACCAATAATAAAAGTGCACCTATTCCTAAAGAGTCACATGGAGATAATAATGAGGATGAAAAGTTGATTACTAAAAGTATGATTATTTTGAATTTATTACACTATCCTTACTGAAGATTAAGTGATCAATTTTCTCAATATATATCTACTGGGGACTTATGGAGAACACTCGATGCAACACATGATTGGATAAGTAATATGAAAACCTTTAAAAGGGTTATACTAAAAGGGTTGACCTAGGTTTGGACAACGAAGGTGATCGTAACTGAGACATTTGACGTCAATTGCTACTTTTGCTTGACAGGTGAGTGTTCCACTACTTGCTACTTGTTATGTGGAATACTTGCATACTTGGAATCGTTGATTTACAATTGTTTGAGCCAAACACTGTTTTATTTAAAATTGAGGCGAGTGTGTACTTTATCGCACTCGATCTTCTTGTTTTTCCACTGAGGCTCCACTTACTGAATAAGTTAACATGAAATGAGATATTGCTATACATGACTGTGCTTAAGTTGCTTGGATGATATTCCATCAACTACTGTTACTGTTTGAGTACCCAACCTCATAGGTGAGTCGGTCGTATTGAGCCAGCAAGGACTTGGTCGAGAAGGCCGATAAACCTTGAGGACTGTTTACTGTACACTGAAACCGGTATACTCGAGTATTACCAAACTACTGTTTATGGAGTGCGGGCCCGGTAGGGGTTGATTTGGTGGACGGAGACTGGTGAAAATGCTGTTCTACGGACCCTTTTATACTTTGCTTACAAGTGTTGACGGAGTGTCAATAGAAGACAATTATGATCAAGCTCCAAGGGATATTTGGCTTTTGAAAGCCACCCGTATCCTTGAATTGAACTGTGATTAACTGTTACTCTACTGAATGGTGTTTATTTGGTTGTTTTGTGAC